ATGCCTAGTAGTATATAGATGAATGGGAGATAAGGGGAATGAAAGGAGGAGCTCACCAAGGTTGTATTTCTGCACAAAGCACACAAAGAAAGGAAGGGGATCTACCAGAGGGCCAGTAGGACGGGTAGGATCCCTGTTGGGTGTCCAAGCAGTCCACTGAAGAGCTTGCCAGAGGACAGGAATGTGCCCTGCTGGGAGCCCAAGCAAATTGGAGAGGAAAGCTGTGACCGTGTTTGGTATCGCAGCCAGGGGAGTGTTGAGGTGTTTGATGCCAGGGATTTCTTGCCAGGTGATGTGCATTTGGAGGTGCTGGCAGAGGGTGATGAAGAGGAGGGCTTGCTGGATGGTGAGTTGCAGCAAGGACTCATGTGCTGCTGAAAGCTGGCAAATGAGGTTGAGGAGTAACATGGTGGGTGGGGGAGTTGGTATGAGGAGAGGAGGGGAGGGGAGTCAAGGGAGGGAGGAGTCAGTGAGGGGAGTCGAGGGAGGGAGGAGTCAGCAAGGGGCAGTGGATTGGCAGCAAGCTCTGCTGGTTGGATGATGACAAGCGTGACTGGTGCCATTCATCAGGTATAGTAGATAACTGGTGACAATGTACATAATGTAGGAGTACAATAGAATAATATTATGTCAGCTGAGTAAGATATGTACAGTAAGCAAAAAACACTGCCACGTACCCCGTCCAGAGTCCAGAGTCCAGAGTCCAGAGGACCCTGCCCCAAAACTCGTATGTACTGTGCCGCGATCTTCAGCACAGCCACGATATGAGCATACCGTTTGCGTATCTCGCTGGTACTAGTACTACTCATGCCACAAGCTTGCTCAAACACGAACTCATGCATGGTTATCCATACTATAAGTCTATCTCACGCAACAGCCCACACGGACGTGAAGGGGTTCGAACACCCGTTGCCTCAGCCGGGCCCTGTTTGCACGAAACATCGCCGCTACTTGGTTCCATCTGAGGCCCGAAGGCGACTGGAGCCTTGTCCACCAGTGAGTATTTATGTTGATAACTATTCGTGCTAGTCTGACGTCCTGAGAGCTTCTGTTTACCCTTCCAACTGAAACGAGTCACATTTCCTGGTACACCGTATTGAACGTGATGTAGACATACTGAAGCTCACTCATCTTTCGAGCGTGAACCGCCGGACATGTAATCAAGAAAGGCTGCCACGGGAATCCGCGGCTGGATGGATAGCATCGGATCCGGAGGATGAAGTCATGGGGGAACGAATGAGGAATTGTACTTCCCCTGCCTTAATCCCACTGATTGTATTGCCGTATCTAGATAACGATTTTGCCCGACATCAAGGGATGGTGCCGTGCCATTGATTCCCCAGTGGTGTCTTGAATCCTGGCCATGCTCCCGTTCCTTCAACTGTATTCGAGGCCGCACAGCTCTCCGCCTTCTCGTTCCTCCCGGCGTGCGGGAGTTCTGCTTCGCAGCCAAGCCAGGAGATATGCACACCACCCCGGAACAAAACAGTTTCGCCCGGGTTTTCCAGGGATCCTCCTCGACGAACGCTGCATCAAGAGTTCCGCCATCTTGCAAGGCTGCGGGTTGCGACTACTCGGTTCAAGCGTTGCTGTGCGTTGTGCATGAAACGGAAACGATTGGGATTCAGTGGATGAATGGCCTGTTATCGATCATGCATCATGGGAAAGTGGTGCCGTGGGGATAAAGAGGGGGCCGGTCATGTAATGCATGGTTTGTTATAATCAAGGACGAAGACATGTAGAATGCTCGGCGTGAGGCCGTCATAGGTGCACAGTCTTCTTGATGTTGGATTTAAGGGTAGCTAGCCGCTACCCGCTGACTTCCGCAGCGTCCGACTTCGCGGTGACAGGCACCCGTCATTGCGGACGGACCATTCACGTGGCTGACCGATGTGGTAGGGACCCATACAAGCCGCGTTGTCTAGGTCTTGGGCGCTTCCGTATCCGGGACCATTAGAGGCGGCCGGGCGGAGGGGAGCGGGAGGCTTCCGCTTTTGTGCACTCTGTCCCTGTGATAATGAGGGGCTTGACTAAAACCGGATTGCCCTCTTGAAGTCAAACCTGGCAATAATAAATACCTTAAGCCCTGTACCATTATGCAAATTATCATCCCTTCGCTTGTGAGCTGCTTGAAGACCCCTTGTCTGCTCTCGACATCATGAGCTTTGTCGTCAACTCTCAGTATGGGCGCGTCTCTCTGCTAGATGGTCTAACTCCCGATGATCTCGGTCAGTCGGTGACCGGATCAGCCCCTTGCAATGAACGGGAAATGACGTCATGTACATTATCCTCTCCATCTGCCAGATACAAGTGCCTGGTGTGCTGCAAGGTAAGCCCGGGCTGAGTATACTACCGTCAAGAGAAGACAAAGACCGACCGGGAAAACGCGTCGTAGATCTTTTCAAGTGCTGGGCACTTAAATCGACATTCAACCATGCATACCGGTGTGAAGAGGTTCGAATGCCCCTTCCCAGGATGTGGCAAACAATGCAGTAGAAGCGACAACCTCGTTCAGCAGTGGGTGTTCCGTTACAGGCTGTTGGGAACTACGAAACTGACTCACCCGCAGCTTTCGGTTGCATCTGTCAGAAAGCCTGCGGGCAGAAATCAACTCTATTGTCCGCGGCCTCATGGAGGATATGCGGGCTAAAGAAACTCAGTCGCACAGCGCGAAACACGACGACGGCAGTTTGCGGCAACAGCAACCGATGCTGACCTCGCATTGCGAATCCCCAGTCACTGTTCGTGGTCGAGCGAAACCAACGGCACTGCAGACCGGTCATCGGTCTGCAAGCCTTAGCTCGACTAGTTCATCATCTCCCGGCCCCGCATCACCACTACCCTTCCCTTGGGAACCGCCTGGCCGGATGTCGGCAACACAATCCCTGTCGTGGGACGAGCTGGGAAGCAACCGTTGGCCCTCGAAAATCAAGATATCATATGCGCGGGCCGAGTGATTGGATACAAGCTCTTTCTTGCTTACCAATCACATAGACCCATCGGTGGATGTGCAACCCCACTCATGAAAACGATCGCTGCTCGCCCATTCGTTACGGAAGCTCCCCGATGTTTGAAAGATCCGCATCTACAGTGATGGAGTCTTTTTTGTTTCTTCTTCATGCATGATTACGCTCTGTATCCAGTGTAGCTAATTTGAACTGTTGTATTAGGGCTCATCAATCAATTATCGGTATATTACTAGGAGTAATGCAGAAACGTACCCGCAGCAGATCCGCTCTCGCGCCCGCATATCATCCCTTCCTTCGCGCTGACTGATATTCTGAGGACCGTTTATCATCCCTGTCGCCTTTGTTGGTCTATCCCAAGACGCTGCGCGGTAGACATTGCCTGTCGACGCCTTCGTTCTTCGTCGAGCGCGACGATGTCGGGGGGTGCTTGAGCAGGGTGCGGAGCGGGGGGCGGGGCGGCCGGAGCGGGAGTGGATGTATGCTGTGCCGGGCCTGGAAGATCCTGCACGTGGACTGCAAGGGAAAGTTGCTGCTTCTCCAACAACTCGGGACCCTGCAGTTTTGCAGCTTTGCGCTCGGCGATGAGCTGCTGCATGTCAGAGACGTCGTTGGGGCGTATGCGAATGACAGTTGGATCGCGCCTGATCATGCTGTCTTTGGCAAGTGGTGGTGATGGTGACCACAGAAAGGGACGCGAGGGGGAGATGCCGACGGCGAGTGTAAGACCGAGACAAAGGAGAAGTGTCCAAACAGAGTTTATTTGGTTGAAGCCGACGGTGTGGGGATGAAGCCAAGACAAGGTGTGCTTCCGCTAACGGAGGCAGATTGGGTGGGTTCCTGGCGGAGAGTGGGGACAGGCTTCCAAATGCGTGCCACCTTAGAGACTGCACAGCCATTTCTCACTCGCCACCCACTTCTTTCTCTTCCTTCATCACGTGTGCTCACTAAACCTGGCGTATCGGCCTCGACATCCCAGGTATATTACCCCTTTCCCGACAACGGCGACCGCATCGCCGACCCCAACGGGCATATACAAAGCAACACCATGAACATCTCTCTTAATCCTATGCTCCAACCCCTGGCGGCCACATCAGCCTTCTTCTCCACTCCATCACCCATCCAAGATGATCCTGGCAGCGCTCGATCGTCACAACAGCAGTTCATGGGAATGTCTAGCTCGTCACAAAGCCCACCGGGAACCCTGGATCCCCGGCAGCAAGTATTTCGCTCAGACAGCATCGACACGGACTTCAAACCTGTAGGGTTGGATGGCAGTGAGAAGGGCAAGAGTAAACAGGGGTCTAACCTCAAGCGAAAACGTGACACCGATCCAGGTCCCATTGCTTCACCAACTGTAGCCACAAATGGAAGTGCCATCAGCAATGACTCAGCTGACCATCCAAAGCGGAAAAAAGCAAACAGAGCTTGTTTTGCTTGTCAGAAAGCGCACTTGACATGTGACGACTGTGAGTGCTGCTTAGATCCAACCTCTTGACGGTGCATTGACGCATCCGATGCAGCCCGACCATGTCAACGATGTATCAAGAAGGGCTGCGCAGATCAGTGCGTCGAAGGGCACCGTAAAAAGGCGAAATATTTATTGGAGGATGAAGAGCTCGGTAAGTAAATGCGCTTCGCTGTCAAACCCTGATCCCTCTGACAAATTCTCCAGAAGCGCTCAAGAAAGCTAAGCAAGAGAAGAATGGACACTCAGGCACTGGCGACGACGAAAATCCATTCTCAAATAACATGTTCGGCGACTCACTATTCAACGTACACCTCGATCCATCCCTTTCGTTCGCTTCGGATCATGCTTCTCTCGAGTACAACGTCCTTTCTCAGATACTCGGCAGCACCGGTGTCTCACCTCCGGATCATCAAGCCTTCCGTGCCCAAGGACAGCAAAATCAAGCACAATTGAATGGCTACACCGCAGATCAGTCGAATTATCAGATCACTTGGCCGGGTCTTGTTCAACCCCAGGCGTCGACACCACAAGAAATGGAATTGCAGCAGGGTCAGGACGGCGCACATACTATGTTCCAGCAAGCATACGGCATGCAACCCCAGCCGCAATCCATGTTCCCAGCATCACAGCAGACGAACGGCTATATGCCCAACGTTCTTTCGGCTCCGTTAAATGGTATGTCATGTGCATTTTTTAGCGAGAAAATCACTCACCATCACCCCAGGCACATTACGACTTGGTCCACCTTCTCCACCGGCGTCTAACGGGTCTCCGTCCTCTGGACATGTGGGAACCGCCGGAAATGTCGGTACCGTTGTACAGCCAACGCAAAATGCGTTTGCGCCGACCCACCTACCTCTATCAGTGGATGCTGCAGACGTGTATCAAAGAGTGACCACGAGTTATGACTACACGGAGGGCTATCATTTCTTGATGAAGTTCTTGACCGAACGGTAGGCATGCTCTGTCTTATTACGTCATATCGGTACCGAACATTCCACAGGTTTGACAAGAATGATATCCTCCGCGTTGTCCGAGCATTAGCAATTTTCAGACCTTCTCTGATCGCGTTGCAAATGCCGTTGAGCGAAGAAGACGAAGTCTTCGTAGAGAAGTCTTTCCAGCGAACACTTATCGTACGTGACTGTTGAAACTGTTGGTCCCAATATTGATGTGGTTGATCAGGAACTGGACAAGCTCATTTCATATAGTGGAACGCCAACGGTCGTGTGGCGGCGGACAGGCGAAATCTGTCTTGTCGGTGTCGAATTCTGCGTTTTGACCGAGTGGAGGAAGGAGGAGCTGCTTTCAGGCAAAAAGTTCATCTACGAGGTAAATGCTGCGCCGTCAAGCACAGAATGCTGGCTGACATCGTAACAGCTATTTGAAAATCAGTCCGTAGTGGAGTACTGGGAGAAGTTTGCCAGTCATGCGTTTGAGAACTCATCCCAATCCGTCTACACCCACTGCGTGCTCGTCAAAGCCGACGGTTCCCCTTTGCCCTGCGCTTTCTGCTTTTCGATCCGAAGAGACATCTTTGCCCTGCCGAGCGTGGTCATTGGCCAGTGGTTACCCTTGCTCTAACCCTGCTACATCCCTTTCCCTTCCCTTCGCTTTCTTTCCCCACATTGCCCGTGCCCCACACCCGATCCCCGCCGCAACCCGCCTTTTCCCCACAGAACCCTACCCTACCCTTATCCGCCCCATTCCTGTCCACTTCCCCTTTCCCCTTCCTTCTTGCCGAAATCCCCCGCGGCGGTCTCCTCCCACATCGGATATTGGATAAATCCATGCCTTTCCCAAGCCTCCAAACACCGGAGGACGGAGGGATCTGTAATAGCCCTTAAAGAGCCTGTACTTGTACCCAAATTGAATATCAATCTAACCAATCGAATCTGATCCAATTGGACGTCTCATAGGATGTACCTGATCTTAATCATTGAGCTCCACGTCGTCTCGCGTGCATATATGTGCATGTCCCAAATATGATTTTTCAACTAGACGTGACGTGCCTCACAGGTTGAGAGTGACAATGAGATAGTGAGAATGAAAGTGCAGAGTCCGGCTATCATACATATGCTGTACTGCACCGTACAGTCGTGTAACCCCCCCACTCCCCCCCCCTACCAGTGCACAGGCGCGGTACGTCCATTACCACCCTCCTTCTCTCTAAAACATCAGTGCCGCGGCTACAACGCCCGCCGTAGCAGCGAGAAACACCGCAATGCCCGGGCTTACCCTCCTCGCCGCGCTCGCCCCACTGCTACTTCCACTCCCGCTCCCACTGCCACTCCCAGAAGTAAACCACGGCAAGCTGCCGCTGTCCGTCTTACTGGCCTGTGTCGGCACTCCAACAGGGGTAATCTGATTCGTAACAGTCGCCACCGCCCCTGAGGGGTTCTGCCCCTCAGCTCCAAGCGGGTTCATGTTAATAGCCGCACTCGACAGCTGGGCAAACCCTACTTGAGCCGGGGAGTACTGGAACACCGAATAGACGTTCTTGAGGAATGTGTCTCCCATGATCCAGGATGGTGCTCCTTGACCAAGATTGACAGCTGTGAGTCCCGCGACGCAGGTCGAGGCTGAGACTTGGCCGATCAGGAAATCATCTGAAGACACTTGCCAGTCCTGCCCGCCGAAGTTCACCGAGAGGGTGATGGTGGGTGAGCAGGGGTAGGTCCAGAGACCTGCTAGCTGGCCTGTGCCGGGCGCGGAGCCGGGGATGGAGGCGAAGATGGCGTTTATTTGGTCTGAGGGTCCACCGATTAGCGAGGTGCCGGTGTCGATTATCGCTAGGTTCTCGGTCCCGAGGCTGAGGGGGGCACCGTTGACTTTGAATGCTGTTGCGCTGTCAGTAGGTGCAAGAAACAGTACTGCAGAAATCACAGTTCATCTGTAACGTCCAGTAGGCATTTTCACCCTGCAGTTGCTGGATATTGTGGTACTCGATACTACCCGTAAACAGGGAAGAGTTCGTCCCGCCCAAGGTGAAGTATCCCCCCGGTTCCGCGTTGGTAGCCGTGGGGTCATCGACGTACCGCGTGAGGAAGAACGACATCTGAGGGCTTGGGAGCTTGTTTGCGTTCACCAGCGCGTTGACGAACGGGGTTGCTCCTGAGGAGGACAGCGCTGGCCAGCCGAGACCAATGAGACCCGAGACGGTTGTGTCTGTCGTTAATCCCGAACCAAGAGTTGTCACGTCGACTGCGGAGGAAGCGCTCAGTGCCTGCTGCGCATAGCACATCCGAGGACTTACCAAAGATCTGTGGATCGATCGTATACCCCCCAAAAGTCACGACATCCCGCACGACAGGCCCACTGGCGGATCCTGAGCCGTACTGCAGCTCGACGGGGTTGGTATTTGTCGATGCTTGAAAGGTGGAGGAGGCCCCAGAGTTAAAGGTCGTTGAGGTGTCGCAGGAGCGGCCACAGGTGGAGGACTCCCAGGCTGACTCTAGCTACTTGGGACAGATACAGATTGGTACTCCTGCCCAGACGGTCAGTACCGCTTCCCCCCCCCCCCCTTTTTTTTTTCGCTGAAGATACTAATGTTGTTCGCAGTTCACAATATCCCTCGATACGGGCTCTGCAGATCTCTGGGTCGTCTTGACCAAGCTCATCCCGTTCTGCCGCTTCACTCTCCTCCCGTTTTGAAAGGGGTAGGATTCCTTCACTCCGGGCTTTCCGTACTTCTGCCACATGAGATCTCGTTGTTTGGCTATCCATGCTAGGTCGCGCGTCTGGCGTGAGCGGATAAGAGGAACAGAGACGGGGCTGGCTGGAGGTTCGCGTGGCAGAGCAGAGGCAACGACGAGGTTGATGAAGAGGAGAGAGAGGAGCATTGTCGTTGATGAAAGGTGAGTAAGGTAGATGGATGATATAAGGGCGCCTGGCCAGAGATACAAAGGGGATATTGTGACAAGATGCAGTAGAGAAGAGAGAGTGAAAGCTCGAGGAGTAATTGAAGAGTGAATGCAGTGACGACCACACTACCGAGGACCCCAAAAATACCCTCACTATCTTCTATGCCCGAACACAGCCCTGGAACAAAGCGGACACCTCTCAGGCGGATCCTTTTTTCCTCCTCTTCTTACTATTAGAGCGCTGCTATTCAGGGACACTTGCTTACGGGGTCTTACTAAGGAACGTCATTCATTGACTGCGCAGCAGTGACCAAGACCACCATTCCGCGCTTCCGGAAACCTTCACTCCTTACACTTGGCCCTTGATACCTCTCCCTGACCGCGTTTCGCTCTCGTACCAAGGCCGCTTGGGCTGACTCTTGGATGATAGGATTCCTCTATTCAACCCCCCCCTGCCCACTGTACCGCCTTGCCAGCAATAAGTAACTATACACTTTGATTACGTTCCGAAACCCGACAACAACGATCACACAACGCGGACTGCGCAGTTTATTTTCGGAACCTCGATCTGCCACTCGCTCCAGCACACCGTGAAACAGATGATCGAGTAGTCGTCTGCTGCGGCCACGTAGCCGTGATTCGTCTGCAGATGTAATCTATAGTACAATAGTATACCCTAGTCGGTCCTTGTTTTTCCCCTGTCCGTCCTCCTCGTTCCCTCTGATGGTAAAAGATGTCCATGTCAGCCTCCTCCTAAGATGCCCGACCTGGTCGACTCAGTCCAATTCCCGAAATCGATCGGGTTTGCGCTTCAGACACTGAACCGAACCGAGCCGTTTCGTTCCTTTCTAGGCAGATTCCTTGGGACTTGGTATTGGCACTTGGCATTAGCGCTCGCCTACGTCTCCGAACTTGGCGTCGCCGCCTCATCGAAATGATGTTCCTCTTGTCGCGGGGGGTAGGGAGGCTTGTCGTCTTCAGGCTTTTGTGCATCAGTGCTCTGAGACGTTGCTAGTGTGGGCTGGGAGGACTGGGCGGGAGCCTCGACGTTGGGCACAACGCGGTGTGCATCGTCAAGACCTTGCGTGCTCTGCAGGTCGTCCGTACTTGGGGGGAGTTCCGATTCCGGGCCACTTGCCGGAAACTTCATACCCATCGCCAACTCCTCCGGCAGCCCAGTCTCCCCCACGAAATCCAGGGTCTTTCCTCCCCTTCCCCTACCTCGTTCTCTCTCCGGCCTAACACTCCCCACCCATTTCTCCCGATCTTCCATCATCTCCCGTCTCATATCCTCAGCAACCTGGCGCCAGACATCCCATGCGTGCGTCCACCCTTTGTTGGGGAGAGACGAGGCGTAGTCTGTGTTCACCTCGTCCGGGCTTGGCTGGTAGGTGTCTGGGGGGTTGAATTGCGTCTGCTGCTCGGGGAGCGGTTCGACGGAGAGCGCAGGAGGCGGGGGTACGTATCCCACTCCTGTCAGAGCGCGGAAAAGCACCACCAAACAGCTGCCAAAGCGTCAGCATCTTCCCCTCCTGACCCCCTTTGGAAAGAAAAACCCCATACCTGGTGAAAAGGACGACCAGGGGCCAATTCGCGCCTTTCGCAGCGCGTGTCAGCCGCCTCAATAGTAGCTTCCCAGCCGCAGCGGCCCAAGTCTGACTCTCGGAACTTGGGGGGTCCATACGCGTGTTGAATGGTGGACGGGTAGGGGCTTCGGAGTACAGTGGTGTGGCGGGATGAGGGCGGTACCGGGGTGTGCGGGGGGATTGGAGTGGGGAGAGGGAGGAGGATGCTGCTACGCCCGGGTAGTGGGAGGGATGGTATACGGAAGGAGTGCGGGGTTGCCGTGGTGTAGACGGCAAAGAAGGCACGGGTGTGCTGGCACCCCTCTCGTATGTGTACGTTCCAGGCGTTGTTGGAGAATACTGCGCAGTCGGCATTGTGCTCATCTTTCTGCTTCTATTTTCTTTTCGTTGGAATGGAATTGGATCAGGGTTCGTTCGGGTCTGGTGAATGGGCCGGGTGAATGAAATTGATGCCGATTATGTCCGGGGCGTGCCGGGCGGCAAAGTACGAGTATGTTGATGTCGGCTGTTGCTGTTGCTGTTGCTGTTGGTCAAGCAGACAAGAGAGAAAGGAAAGCAAGCAACGAGCTTCGAGCTGGATATTTGTGCAAGTCTGAGGGCGGGACACGTCTCAGTTCTCTCCTCACAGCGCCCCGCCGTCTTCTGCGGATCAGCCTTCTTTGGAACCCTGCACGTGCGCGGGTACATTCAAGGGAAGGGAAGTAGGGTCCAAATTTCTGGGATGGGGGATGGCGACATCTCTCGCTCGAGGTTGACTAGGTGTCGACATTCTTGGTGCTTCCTGTTTGACTCCAGACTAGACAGATAGACTGCTATTCCTTGACTAGAGGATCTGACGAGCAGAGCAAGAAGAGGGAGGCACAATGGCACCTATGACTTCAATCCGCACAAACGGGGACGAGATCGAAATCGTCGACCAGCTCTTGTTGCCCCACGTCGTCCGCTGGGTGCCTGTGCTCACGCCCGAAGACGCATACGATGCGATCAAGTCGATGAAGGTGCCCTCCTCCCTCCCACATCCCCGCGCATATAGGCTAACCCCTAGCAGATCCGGGGCGCACCTGCGATCGCATCCCTCGCCGCTCTCTCCATAGCCCGATACATCTCGCTAGCGCTCAGCGCCTCCCCTCCCCCGAGCTGGCTCTCCACCCCCGCAGCGCTCTCTTCCCACCTCTCACCCATCCTCGATCACCTCCTTACCTCCCGCCCCACAGCTGTAAACCTCTCCCAAGCCATAACGCGCATCCGTTCCGTTTTCTCTAAAGGGGAGGCACAGCTCCTCTCAGGCGGGGACACGGCTCTAGCTGTGATTGCTGAGTCCCGCGCAGTAGCAGACGAAGATGTCGGGCGAAACAAAGCTATGTCACGTCTCGGTGCGGAATGGGTACTCGCCATGCTTGAAGCCGAAGGCACGGTCGCACCTGGGGAGCCTATCAACGTGCTCACGGTGTGTAACACCGGCTCCCTCGCTACATCAGGCTACGGCACTGCGCTCGGCCTGATCACGCACCTGCACGAACAGGGCAGGCTTGGGCGAGCGTTCTACACCCAAAGCGCGCCGTATCACCAAGGCACGCGGTTGACTGCTCTCGAACTCCTTACGCTGGGCGTGCCGAGTACGATGTTATGCGATACGATGGTCGGTTCGCTTATGCAGCATTTTAAGGTGCACGCTGTGGCGGTGGGTGCGGATAGGGTGGCGAAGAACGGGGATACGGCTAATAAGATCGGGACGTATAACGCTGCTGTCTTGGCTAAACGACATGGGGTGCCGTTCCTCGTTGTAGCGCCAGTGAGCACGCTGGATCCAAAGACGCCATCCGGGAAGGAGATACCGATCGAGCACCGGCCGCCAATGGAAGCTGTCCTCGCGAGGGGTGTTGCCTACCCTCCCAAAGAAGGCGTGGAGGCGGAGCAGGTGGTGGTACAGATCGCACCGCCTAACCTGTCGTTGGAGGGGATCTACAATCCGAGCTTTGACGTTACCCCTGCTGAGTGAGTGCTGGTCGTCTTTGTGTGAAGTGCGTGCTGATGGGAACTTAAGGCTGATCACGGCGATCGTTACGGAAAATGGGGTTGTGGAGAATAAGGGAGGAGAGGTAATTGATCTGAGTAGTGTGCTGTGATGTGTTGTGATGTAACAGAAATAAGAAATATAGAATACTTGATCCAGCATGCGGACCATCGAGAGACGTGTATCTTCAGTGCCTGTCAAAGGACGTGGCGAGTTCGGGTCTATACACGCAGAAGTCAACAGAATGGAAGACGTTATACATTCCCTCTATGAACATATGCGCATATATGAAGATCTCACCGAGCCAACTCACGTCTCATGAAAACCCCAACAGCACGAGACATACCGACACCATGGCTAGGAGATAAGGCAAGGCAAGGCGAGGTGGAGCTCCGCCTGCGGTATTTGGAGGAAGAACATGCGACGAAGAGTACGACGGGCAGGTGTCGTTTCCCCCCGGTTCCCCAGGGCAGCAAGCACTGCGGCATCCTTATCAGTACCATTCCAATACGCATACAGCTTGGAGTATGAGTTCTCACCTGCTGCCTAAGGCTGGCACCCTCCCCATTGCGCCTGCGTTCCCGCTCCCCGCCCAGTTGGGGATACACTCCACTGAGGTGTAGGTGATGTTCCACACGCCGAAGTCTGTGTAGCCGTAGTATGAGGCATTGGAGGGGAAGAAGCCTGTCGGGATCGCAGGAGTGGGGTAAGCGAGGTCAAAGTGCACATAGTAGCCGAATCTCCATACTCTATTAGCTGGTTCTGAGGGAAGAGGAGTTGGCTCACTCATTAGGTTTTGATGCAGTAGCTTGACAGTGTGGGCTTGATCCTGGACAAAGATCGGTAATTTTGACGATCACACTCGGGTGAGAAGATGGGAAGAAGGGAGGCGTAGATGTCCAACTGTCCAGGAGAGTGAGGTTGAAGCATCTCCCTGGGTTGTATGTATGAGCATGCATATATGCTGGTTGGGAGGTGCGTACCGCAGCCTGGACCGTAGCTGGGGGGGTGTTAGATGGCTAGAAGGGAGGTGAAGTGACGTACACGTAGGCGCTGCCGAATGCTAGCTGGTTCAGAGCTGCTAGGAGTTAGCCAGGTCGACTAGAGAAGCATACACGTACCTGCAGTAGGGTAGTTCCCGCTGCTTTCACCCTCGCAGCCGCAGCCTATTCCGCTTATGACCAGTTCGTCATCCGCATAGTACAAGAGTGCTTACTGCCAACGTAGCCAGTCGGGAGGTTATAATGGGTTAGACTTGCCAAGCCCGAACTTTGCATCTGCCACTCCTGTGCCAGCACTACCGTGGCCAATAGAGGGTATAGGAAAGTCAAAATCATTATAAGCAGATTATGACATTACACTTCGAGGTGGTGATGGTGGTCCGGTGCATAGTATGGGTATGAAAAAAGAGCACCCCAATTCTGGTTTGGGCGGGGAAGTATGATGACAGAAGGCAGGGTCCGCGGGGGGGTAGGGATATTTCGCTGCATCGCAGCTGCATGCAGCTGCATCGAACCGCGCCCCAACCCACGCCCATGTTTTGGGAACCTTCCACATCATCAATGTATTTTGCACCTGTAAAGAGATCCATGTATATAGGCTGTGTAAATGATATCTGTTTAATACCACTTTCATTTGGAAGAGTATCCAGTGCTCTATGCAGCTTGCACTGATTTCCCACCAAACTCAGAGTGGCGTTGGCGACGCGGCTGCGTCTGCAGTTCGATGCAGTTCGATGCAGCTGCATAAGGGAAACTAATTGGCCCAGGGAAATGGCCTGGAAACCCTATCAGAAACATCAACTCGCTTACAATCTCCAGCCTTGTACCCTGCCTAATTGTTTGCTTCAATTCTCTCAGGCTCAATAGAAGGGCCATCAAAATACTTTCTATTAGTACATATTCTCAATCAAGTAGGAATATGGCCGACTTTGCACCTCCACGAGGTTGGACGATGCAGCTGCAGCGCGGTCCCTGCAGTGGGACGCGGCGATTCCTCCCACCCCGTCCGCGGAGTGCATGTGCTTGCCGAAAATAGGTTCTCCCACCTCACTTGTACCTCAACCCAGCTCTCTGCATGCCCAACCCAGTGCGTGCAAGCTGCTTGCATATCCCCATCCGGTACGCCCACTCCGCCTCCTCATCCCGGTGGCTCGCACGTCAAAAATCCGACCCCTTCGTGCGTCTGCGCTCTGAGGCCGGCACCGACTCGGGCGCGTACCGTTCCCGTGCCGCATTCAAGCTGCTCGAGATCCAGGAGAAATTCGGGATAATTCGAGCTGGGGACACTGTGGTGGACCTTGGGTGTGCGCCCGGGGCGTGGCTGCAGGTCGCAGGAGAGGTTGTTGGAAAGGATGGCCTGAGTGGACGGGTGTTGGGGGTGGATTTGCTGAGGACAGATCCGCTGGAGAACACTACCATCATACAGGGTGATTTCCTCAGTGCGAGCACGCAGCTTGAGCTTGCTCGCGCGCTGAGAGGGTCATCGGAGGAAGGGGAGCCTGCAAAACTTGGGCGATGCGTGGACGTCGTGCTCTCCGATATGGCGCCGAACATCTCCGGCAACAGGACGAGCGATGTTGCCAACTCTCTCCGGTTATCAGAAGCTGCTGTGGGATTCACGATGCGGTTTTTGAGGCTAGGTACGGACGCTGCACCGAGGCAGAGAAAACAGGGAGGGGCACTGGTGTACACCTTCGTCATTATATTTGTTGCGGTCTATCTAACGTTGTACAGCATGAAATACTTCGCACACCCAGAACTTACAGAATTCAAGACTCAATACCTCATACCATATTTCAAAAGGGTGATGTAGGCGTACCGTGCGAATTGTGGATGGGACAGCTGACGTCCACACAAGTGATTTCAAGCCGAAGTCGAGCAGGAAAGAATCGGCAGAAACGTATTGGGTGTGCATGGATCTTCACCTGCCCCCACGGCATGGGTAGCAGAATCACAGCCAATGCGCTGGCTCAACACGCCGAATATCTTCGTTCAAAAGCTCGCGCGGAGGAATGATTATCAGCGGGACAGCAATCTTGGTTATCACACCTTTGAAGGAAGTCAGCCTCAGTCTATGTGCTGCGGATGAGACGAGACGCCGTGAAAGGCAAGTGGGGATCAGTTGGCTGTTCTTAGTTTTTGTTGAAGGTATCTCCATCCGCCCGTGGGCGTCCAGAGAGTTGGTGTATACGGTGTATCATCCGATAGGAAAGAATAGACAAGATGGGTATGTGAGACTCACATATCGCATTGAGATGTGACGGATGGCGAACGCACTAGGCGCATATATCTGCCATCTCACCCACCCTAAATGTACCACTGACCCACGACCAAGCGCACACGTTCATCGTATCACCAAACATAACATCTATATCAACCAGTCAGCACGACGAACAGAACAATGAGAATATCGAAAGGAAAGGATCAGAGGTGCACTGTGTTTGGCTATGTGCTCGGCCAGTCGTCACAGCTGCTGCTAGGACTGGGGCGGCAACGAAGTATCATCATATCGAGGAAGAGAAATAAAAAGAATACGGGAGACGTACTATCATATAACAAACAACCTGTAGTGGAGGGAGGGATTGAGAAGAGAGGACGAAAGGAGTCGGGCAGAAAAGTCGCTCTTGAGGCAAATGCTTCCGTTTTTCTCTTATGTCATCTCTTTTAGTCAGCAGTGACATGTAGCATGCTCAAACAGGCCGATGTTGGGATTGATGGTACCGGTGAGATTATTATTGATAGGCAATGGCCACCAATTATGTGCATTGGTTTTCTAAGGATCACATCTGATAGTTGAAGAAAAATCACATGAAGAGAAGGGATGCCCTCATTCACCACACATCAGAGACCATCCAGGGCCCCTGACATGGAATCCAGAATTTGAATTCCGGATTCCGGATTCTGGCAGGGGCAGTGCATAATTATAGCTCTGCTCACTAAGGTTAAGTAAGCATGTGTATATAGCTAATATATATTGCTCCCTGTAGTAGAATTAGTAGTAGAATTAGAATAAAAGTATTAATTAAAGGGCATGCATTACCAGGCATATGCCCATCTGTTGGATCATGTCTGGATGCACACATAATTCACAGCAAGAGGGAATACCAATTCATTCTACACTGTCTGTGTATCTAGGAGAAATCTTTCCTGCTCCCTGTAGAATTAGTAGTAGAATTAGAATAAAAGTAATAACCACAGGGCATGCATTACCAGGCATGTGTACTGCTAGTGGTTCATGTTTAGATGCACACATAATTTATAGGCAGGAGGGAATGCCATTTCATTCTAGACTATCTATGTATCTAGGAAAAATCATTCCGCATGCATAACTATGTAGGTGATATGAAACTTTTTTTTTGGATTTTTTGGGGGGAGGTACAAGAGAAAGAGAGAGACAGAAGAGAAGAGAGAGAAGGCCATCACCTTACAAACCAATAGCACTAAGCCACTTCTTATCAACAAGACAACAAGGAGGGCAAATCTTGATTTGACCATTTTCTGCAGTCACCTTGATCTTCAGGACATGGAATGCCATGTCCCCTGGGTCTGGTTGAAGCTCAAACACATCATGCTCACCATTGTTGAACTTGAGAATTATATGCCCTTTGCAGTTATGGTGACACTTGAAATGGACAGACTTCTCCACCAGGGCAAACTTCTTGAACTCCATGAACTGTGCACACTTTGAACAGTTCAGATCCTCCTCATTCCCTGTGAGGTTCCTGCTTGGGGCACCCCAGGTATATCTCCAGCCTCATAGTTTGGCCTGCAGAGGTATATGTTGAGACCAAACAGGGGATTGGAGAGGTCACAGACATATCCCTTGAGAATGGCATCTTCTCCAGGCATGCCATCTCAGTAATAAGCATGCAGGAAGGGTGCTAGCCACTGCTCTGCCACTTGCTGTGCATTGAAGAAGTTGGCAGTAAAGCCAATGACATTATCAAGTGCTGTAATAAAAGTAAGGACATGTAGGGGCTGAATGAGAAAATGCCTTATGTGCACATCTGTACTGAGTGCAGTGCCTTCAGGACCATGCCACTGCATGTCAAGAGAATGGGGGTGGAGTCATTGCACACCTCCTTGGGAACCACTGTCCCCAGAACGCTAGCACAGACCTGTAAACTTGTAGATTTCATGTAAAAGAAGTGAACTTACTTGCATAGGAGTACCATAGGTATGGTACTTATTGGCCTTGTTATACAGTAACTCACCATTACCATCATTTGAGTGAACATCCACAATGGTGAGAATGCAGAATTTCTTATTATAGCTAGATACAAGATTAGTCCTAACACATATTCATAATATTGACTTGCTTACAGTGCCTTGACCTTGTTCACCAAGTCAGCAATGTGGGCACATATGAGCTGCATTCCATCTGCCTGTCTGGATGGCTGGTCATCCACAGACCATGTTGTACCATGCTCTGACAGCACTATGTCAACATAGCATGCATGTCATGCCTATTGGATGTCAGAAGATATCTCAATCATTAACTATGCAAGCTTACCAATCGCTGTAACATACACATCTCCCCAAGATAGGCCCGGACAATCTTTGAGGACAAGTCTGACATGGTATGCTTGCCAGACTCCTGCCAGTGCACCATGATCACAATGACTGGATCAGCATGCACTGGCCCTAATGACCAGATTGGCAGAGAGCCATGATAATTATACTATGCATGTCAGTCAGCTTTGAATACTACAAATAGAATAGAAAGTACTTACTGGAGGAGCATGCATTCCTTGATCCTTGCAGCACTTCATGCAAGGAATACCTCCAGCTGCCTCTATCTGTGCCAAACTCATCTCTACACACCCCTGCATCCCAGCTGTATTGATGCAGAACACACAGTCACATATCTTGCATTGATGTAGGGCCAGTGCTTCATGACTGGCACCACAAACAGAGCAGTGCTAAAAGATTACTATCAGCAAAATATGTAAGAGATTTGACTTCCTGAGCTCACCATCATTTTCTTATAGCATGCATGAGGTGTGCCCAGTGCAGCCTATAAGACATAGACCTCAGCTTGTGTATTATTCCACAAATTAATACTTACCACAACATTATACCCATTGTCTCTGATACCACTTCCAATCTTCCCATCCTTGAACAGGAGATCCTTGTCCATTTGCATGACTGCCTTAGCCTGCAGTGGGCAGTCAACAGGCCTGATGTCCTTGTTGCCATGCCAGTACATGTAGATCAGTGCAGCTGCATTGATACTATACCCCAAGTTAGCATGAAAACCCCTGATCAAAGATGAATATAGCTTACACCAGCTCTGAATGTGCTACAACCCAATATCGCCATAGAGAGGAAGCAGCTTCAGAATCCCCTGCTTGCCATGCTCTGATCCATGTATCCCTATTGTTCTCCCTAGCATATTCCTCCTCAGTATCCATGTCATTGTCTTCCCAAATAACAGTATATGCGAGAATTCGATTCTATGAATATATAGGTCAGAAATAGAAGACATTAGGTTACAACACAAGCACCTCAGGAGTTGGGCCACAGAGCCAGCAGTGACTTATGATCTCCACAACTGTGAATTGCTCTTCAACCTCACCCTCATCCGTCTCATAGAACTCCTCCCAATCAGGGTTGATGCTAACATCTCCACTGCAAGTGTGAGGGCAACATGATCCAACAATCATTGATGATCAAATAACCAAACAGGCAACAAGCAAATTGGAGAGTAGTGAGTTGTACATCAATCAATGCCTCAATGTTTGTTCACAAATGGAGGGATCAACAGGGGTGTTATAGAGTGAGTGGGGATTTGCAGGTGACAGGCACAATCATGTGTGTGTCGTGTGCACATTTGGAACGATTAAAGCTTTGTGTTTAGAACCTAATGACCTTGGACTGTGGGGTTCCTAAGAGATTAGCTCTAAAGAGCTACAGGGGCTATACCTAGGGTTCTATATATGTCTAGGTATGGAAGTAAAAAGGAAGCAAAGTCTGTGGCTGACTATACAGCTTGTTTAGGGCAGGCACCTCATGTCTCTGGTCTGGTCTGTCCCGCATGATCTATGACCAACATCTCATGTTCTGGGATCTGTCCTTCCTGGAGTCGGGTGATTGTAGTATCAGCTGTCATTTGGGGTGTCATGCCATGTGACTGTGCTCTGATTGTTGTTGATTGCAGCTGTTTGCAATTGATTTTAGGGATGTCCCCTGACAGTGAGACTCTTTGAGGTGGAGGAACAGGGTCTGCAGGATAGCAGCATTATAAGTGGGCAGGCAGCAGCTAGTATGTTTGAGCTTAGGGTAAGGTGGATTCACAAGGAAAACTTACACATCAGCCCACTCATATCCATGTATAACCTTATCCTGCCCAATGAACATATACAAGCAGTTCTCCTTGACCCAGTTCTGATAGCACCAATTTAGCATTGAATTAAAAATACAAAAGATATAAAAATAACTTACAGTTGCTTCTTCAGGTTGTTCACCAGGAGCTGTGTGGTGATGGATGTCAACCAACACCAGCATATCAGTGCGACCCTCCCTCTTTTCCATGTAGAGCTGCCAGTAATTATCTTCTTCCTGCCATTCCCACACCCTTCCAGGCACATTAGGGGGCATCTGGTTTCTGTCCCAATGCTTGGGAACCCCAGGCTTTGCCCAAACCAATTTTGCATTGGTGATCTTGCTGTATTCATTGGGGAGATAATCCCCCCCATCCTCATGGGTATCCCTCACAGGCAAGGCATGGTTGCAGTTATTGGCAGGGTGGGGAGAGGGCTTCCTGGGTTTGGTAAACACAGAATGGCAGGAGCGAGTTCCACAAGGCATATTTGGGAATAAAGATTGACAGTGGAAATATTTGAAGTTGAGAAATTGACAGTTCATTTAAGTTGAGAGAGGCCTAAGCAACGTCAGTGTTGCTTAGGGCCAGTCCCTAAGTGCCTGGAAATGATGCAGCATGGAGGCAAAGTCAGGGCATGCATAACTTGCAAGGCATGCACATGGAAGCAAACAGTCCCTTGACTGTCAACCTCCACCATCTAATGTGCATATGTGCATTAGATGGTGGCTCTCAACTCTTTTTTGGCTTCCTTGCATGGATTCCCCTTTACCTGATGAGCATGGCTTGACTGTCTTATCAGGGACAAGGGGGGAAGGATGCAGAAGGGTGCAAGGCTTGACCTTCGCCCTTTTGCACCTCAACAACTTACAGGATGTGCAGGGCTTGAACCTTGCATCCTGTTGGCTTCAAACTATATGCAGGGCTTGACCCTCATATAGTTTGAGCCATCAGAAGATACTATTTGGCTGGTGGAGGTGCAAGGCTTGTCCCTTGCATCCACATGGCTTTGAACTATATGCAGGGCATGACCCTCATATAGTTCAAGCCTTTCAATGAGATGAATGGCTGGCAGGTGTGCAGGGCTTGTCCCTCGCACCCTCATGGCTTCAAACTATATGCAGGGCATGTCCCTCATATAATTCAAGCCTTTTTGATGATACACTTGGCTGGTGGGTGTGCAGGGCTTGTCCCTCATGTAGTTCAAGCCTTTCAAAGATACAGTTAGATGGCAGGCATGCAGGGCTTGTCCCTCATGTCCCCTTGAGTCAGTGTGCAGGTGATGCCCTGCCTTCTCTCTGTGCATGGCATGTCCATCACAGAGTTGGGCAGGGCTTGGGTGTTTCATTGCAGTAGGGCATGTCCCTCTGCAGTGTGCCACCCATTTGAACTGCTCCCTCCCCCTTCCCTATTGGGGGGAGGAATGTGTGATTTCTGCAGGTGCTGGCAGTCTGCTGGTATCAGCAGCAATGAAAGGGAAGGGGTAAGTATTACCCTTCCCTTTTAGTTACATATAACACTTTTCTAGATAGTGAATAAATATATTCACATTTATTACAGCATGCCTAGCACACTCTGTGTGTGCTCAGAGCATGCATTTCTGTGTGGACTGGCATCTTCTCACAGTTCCTATTTTGCCACATGGTACATAGGGTCCATGAGAAGATGTCCACTGATCTGGTCTGAGATCCTTCTATCAAGCTCAGATTGATGGAACTGAAGAAAATAATAATAATTTCAGCTGTTCTCATTCCTGTGGTAGCTCACAATACCCTCTCTTCCTTTCCCACCTTGTCCTCTGTGCATTTCCTCATATTGCAGCCCCTCCAGCACCACTCAATGTCAACTTTGTTCTCTGGCTCTACCCAGAGAATATTAGACCTATTCTCCATCCTGTGCATTATGGAGTATGTCAAACCCTGATGTCTCTGCAAGTGTGCAAGGCTACAAGTGGCCAGAATGAAAATTATAGATGGATTTCTGCACAGGTATGTACTAATATATTAGAAAATCATCTGGTCTCTCATGTGTTCTAGTGTGCAAGGCACATGAGAACTGGGGATCCCAACAAGCAGGGTTTCAAGTGGTTAACAGACCCACCTCCCCCTGATGTTCAAGAAACAATTTGATCAACAGTCTATGCAGAACAAAGCTTCTCTGGTGGCAATCTACCACCTGCTATCCCACCACCTGTTAACACTAGATCCAGTCAATGCCCCAAGGCTGGGTGCAAGGCATGACACAAGCAAGGATGCTATTTTGGCTCCTGCAAAGCCCATTGTCAAGAGTTACAACATGCACATGGCATTGTCTGTAAGGTGCAAAAACACCTGATTACCCTCATAGCCTGATCTCCATCCAACCATTTGTCAGATCCAGTAGTCACTCTGGCAGATGCACCAGTACCTGCAACAACACCTGAGCCATCCAGACCTCCTGTGCCACCTACTCAAGCCTTCCATGGTCCTGCTACTCTGGGCACACATGTAGATAATCCTGGTTTTCTTTGGTCTCTCAGTGGAAACAAGATAGGGGCACAAGACTCACATTGCAAAGAGGAAGAAGAAGCACAGCATGAGTGGGAGAGGCTTTCCTGTGCCTTTTTAGTTGTTGGCATTGAAAAGGTATGTTCATGTAATAATAATAATTCATTGACCAATGGCTAATATTGTGATAGGATGATACAACTCATCACAATGGCCTTGTTGCCACCCACACCAGTAATGGTCTCACCACCTCTCTCTGCAAATGGCCTTCATATCTACAGAAGGTCATTGCTAAGGAGTATCCAGATATGGACTACCTCACACTTTATATTCCATCTCAAAAACGCTGGGCTATTTCTGAACATAAGGCACCCATTGAAGTGAAGCAAGAGGAAGTAGTCTTCTTCCGACATGCTGGAGTTGGCAAGCATGACCCTCAGGTGCTGGCTGCTATTGAAGAGCACAACTCAGCAAGTATGCCCTGTGATTTGCATCATGGGACATCTTCAGTCACCCCCAGCCCTCAAAAACCAGTCTGTCAAACACCTATCCAAGTGGATTCAGACATCGACAAGGTCAGCCAGAGTGCCTGGACTACAGCACAAGAGAAAAACCAAAAAAAAGCATGCCACTTGGAGTGGCAGTGAGCCTGATCATACTTTGCATTTCAAGTCTGAGGCCAAGCAGGCATCCTTTCAGACAGGGGCAGAGGTAGTCACCTTGAAACCATTCCAGAAGAAGAGCCATGGTCGCCCCTCCCAGTGGCCTGGGATGAAAACATACAAGCAGGTGAAGGATGAGATAGAAGAGGTAGCCAAAAGGATGAAAAACAGAGAACCACTAGCAACTGCTCAGCTTGCAGTCCTGGGGTACACTGTCCCAAGCTCTACATGGTCAGATAATGCATGTTGGCTGGATATTGCAACAGCAATGACACTTGCCAACTATGAAGCAAAACCAGATACAGCTTGGGTGAGTTTTTGCAATACTGCTAGGGTTGATGGCCTTCAAGCCAATGAATCTCTAGTGCTAGAGTAATGGTGAGCAAAAATATATACCAATGACATTTCATATATAGTTGAGTTACAGTATACATCTCTCTACCTAATGTATTAGCCTTAGACATGAAGTAGAAGATCTCTATCAATTACATATGGCTCCTTCCTCTTTCGTTGCAACTCAGATACAAGAAATGCATTTTGTGCCTTAATAACTTCATCCAAGAAAAACTCATATCAAACTGGCAGCATCTCCCAAACACTGCCATGAAAATTGCTGAGCCATGCATTTGTCTGCTCACATGCAGATGAGTTAAAAGTCCATGTACCAGTCTCTGCATTATAGAGTTGAGGGGAAAGCATCAGATTGCAGTGTGTGCTGCAATACTCATCCTTCTCAGAATGGTGATTCTTGAAGTGGAAGACATCCACTACTAAGGCTGTCTTCTTGAAATGCTCCTCAATATCACCACGGCCTGCAAGATACTGCTGAAATTGACAATTGTTGTCATAGAACAGAACATCAGGCATAGACTTCTGTGTTGGAAATACTGAGCAGATAAAGTCCTGGAGTATACACTTAATAGTAGTTATTGTGTCAAGGTAATAACACTCACAGCTACAGATGAGAGAGATTCTGCTCCATAAAAAGTTCCCCATGCAATGATTATGCCACAGGGGCAGACAACCAGCTGTTCATTGTGTGTCCTTCTTCTGCCAAAGTGTGCTTTAAGCTGCCCTTTATGTTTTCATCCAGTCTGAGGTATGTCTGGTGTGTCTCCTTCCCTTGAGTATGACTTGGCACAGTCAAGATGGTCCTGAAGAACAAGAGCAGATTGACCAGCTGCATAATAGTTGTCTTCAAGTTGATGATGCTGAGCTAATGCACAAGTTTTGCACCCAGCTTCAACAGGTGCTTTGCAGCCTTCAACAGCACAGACAGAACTCAACAAAGAGTGCTGTAGGCAGTACATTGCATGATTGGTGGGCAATGGGGTGGTACAGTTGTGTACAGCACAACATGGGCGACCAATTGCCACTCCATCTGTCACTGCACAAGAGAGCATGTCTGAGAAAATAATCAGTGTAAAGTTCATATCTGGGAATTGCAACACACATTGTGTTCCATGTTGGAAGAAGAATTTTTGACAGAGTTGACAAGAATGTGCCCATTGTTCCTGTCCATTGTCTGCCATGAATTGATTCCATTGCATCAATGCTGGTAAGAGCCGTTCCATCTGGCTTCCTGCTGAGTCTGGGAGGATAAGTTGTGTGCCTTGCTGAGAATGGTGGAGAAGGAGGGAGTATAAGTCAAACAGGTCACTTATGTATTCACTTCTTAGCAAAGGGATTTGATATGTGCCACTATTGAAGATCTTGGTTTTGGCCAAGGTGTCATGGTATACTGTGGCAGTTGCTGCTGAAGAAGTACTGAGATATGTGTGAGTACAGGTATTAACAGTGGTAAAGCACCATACTGGGAGAGAACAGTGTAAGACCAAAACAATTGGCATAGCTTATCCTCAAAGAGGAGATGCTTTTCAGACTGTAACCCTGTTGGCATCTGGTTATAGTAACCTCAAATGTATTTGTTATTTCTGCCTTCTTGTTGAGTGTGGTTTAAATGATAATGACTATTGCAAGACTGGCATTTGAGAGATGTCACAGAGACTGGGTCAGCCCCATTGTTGAGAGTGTACAGTGCAGCAGTATATCATTGTGGATCATGAAGAGCTGCTTGATGTCCAGTTTCAATAAAGTGTGGGCAGGAGAAATTGGTGCAAATGCAGGTTGGTGGGTATAACTCTTCAGCAGCTGAGGAGATATATTATTTAGCTTTTATTGTATTATAGGTACTATATACTACTAACCAAGCTCTGTGAGGTGGGCATATGTCTGGAAGGGGGTGAAATCATTGGGAAATGATTGTGTTAGGCCAGTAACATCCCAAGTGGGATTCCACAGTAGGGTGTGAGATGCTTCCCATTGTGCCATTGTTTGATGGTCTTGTATAGAACAGTAGAAAGAAAAGCAAGAACAGTGTGAGGAAGGGTTGGGGGGGGAGTTGCTGCTGCTGTGACGGTGCATACTTCCTGCCATGCAATTCAAGTTTGCAGGTGCTGAGCTAGTGCAAGAAACAAAAGAAATTGCTCTGCAGATATTCCTTGAAGGTGTTGCTGCATGCTGGAGAGCTGGTTAATAAGTTGATAGAGGTCCATAGTAGTTGAGGGATATAAGACTTTGGAAATTTCACAAAGTAAAGATGAGCTGGGAGTAAGTATCACATGGAGTTGAACTGTATTTCATTAATAATAGAGTAAGCTGCTTAAGGCAGGAATAAAATAAGGGTCCCTGGCCAGAATCTAGAATTCAGCATCTGGCATTTGAATTCTGGATTTTGTGTTGGGGACCCTGGGAGTACTGACATGTCAGAGAACATATGGGTTCCCTGACATGGAATCCGGAATCCAGAATCTGGAATCTGCTATTATGAAATCTAGATTCCAGCCTCAGCTGTGCTAGATTTGATCCCAGGTCCACAGCCCAAAATGAGGTAAGCAATATTGGTCATTTCAGCACGTGACATAGGCACAATGTCTTTTCTACTCTGAGTATTGTAGAGTATTATACTTGTAAATAATAAATAATAATTAATTAATGCACACCATTGACAGCATTATTTAATGGACTAAGGGGGACACTCAGGCACCAGGAACACCATAAAATTAACAGTATCTACAAGATACCTAGGAGTTTTTACCAGAAAAACTGGAGAATATTTTTTTGGGTTATACAATGCTGAAAAACACGTAATGACAGGCAGGGGAGGAGTGGAGAGGAGGGGCAGGAGGAGAAGAAAAAGAGAAAAAAAGATTAACCCTCTCTAAGAGATCCACTTGGGGTGCAGGGGGCGGGCTGGGGGGGATGTTTGTATCTCACTGTTCTCACCCACCCTCATTGAAATCTTAAGGACATGGTGGTTGGGATCTTCTGGGTTGGGGTGTAATTCAAACACCCCATTCATCCCCTCAATGAAATGCAGATCTGCCCTACCCTTGCATTGGTGCCTGCATCTGTACTGGAAGATGCCCAGGTTGATCTTCTTATGGAACTCCATAACCATGGAACACAAGGTCCTTCAGGTTGCCCATCAGGTTCTTGGCAGGCCCCCCCCAAGTGTACCTCCAGCCTTGGCCATCTTGCCCAAACACAAAGATATCAAGACCAAAGAGAGGGTGGGAAAGCTCTCTGGTGTAGCCCTTGAGGATTGCCTGCTCCCCAGGGATGGTGTCCCAATAGTAGGCATGCAAGAAGGGCCCCAGCTAGATCTCTGCCACATGCTGGGAGTTGAAGGTGTTTGCTGTGAAAGCAATCACCGTGTTGAATCCAGCCCTAATTTCAAACATGGTGAGTTACTGGCCTGTGAGGGCACACAGTCAAGCAAGGCTGCCAACTATAACCCAACAAGATGACAAGATTGCCAGCAAGACCAAACACCCTATATCAACAGGGGTGTCAGTGGGTATTGGAGTAGACTTGAGAGGATTTGGACAGGAAAGCAGAAATCAGTAGAGTTTGGGAAGAGTTTTGATGAGATGAGATAACTAGGCCTATCTCTACAAGACTGTGGAGATTCCTCAGAGATCAGATTTAAGGAGAGTAGTACTATCCTACTACTGCTTATATACTCATAGGGTATGGTCTGTGCACATGGAAGTATAATTGAAAATTTACCTCGATTAGGGCTGCACAGTCTACATTGCAATCCACTTACTTCCTTCAGCTCTTCATGGGAAACCAGCCAGTACTGCCACAGTCCACTTGAGGCCTCAGGAGAACCAGCTTGCCATGCATGAATCCAAGCTGCCATTTCATTCTCCTCCTGATGCTCATCCTCATCCTCATCATCTGGGTCTGTAGCATTGCCTTCTCCATCACCCCATACTACAGAGTAATGTAATATAGAAGACTAAAATGACAGCTTAATCTTTTACTTCTTCCCTCCCTAGAAGAATACTCACATTGGGTGTTGGTCCAGGGCACCAACAATGGCCAGTAATCCCCACCACCTCATACTGTTCTCCATCTTCCTCATAAAAATCCTCCCACTCAGGGTTTTGGGTATGGTCCCCTTTGAATCCCTCCACAAAGTGGTGGAACAAGATGGTGAGGGTATTAGAAGAATGGCCAGGGACTTTGCATCTGCAAGAAGTAAGTTAATTGACTCTTCACACAATAGAGAATGCTACTTATGCCTCTTGCCAGTCCTTCTCTACAATCCAAAGATCGGATGCAATGAACTGGTAGAAGCAATCTTCCTTGTTCCAATCCTGTCTCACTTGTCAGTTTACTCTGCACAAATCCCAGGAAGAAATACTTACATCAGCATCATCAGCCAGATCATCTGCTCCATGGTGAATATTCACCAGGGCCAGATTATCATCCTGACCCTCCCGCCTGGCCATGTAGAGCTGCCAGTACTGCCCTTGAGGCTCCCACTGTCACTGCCTTCCAGCAACATTGGGGGGATGCTGTGCTTGCTGCCTGTACCTTGGCCTGTTGTAGCCAAGCCACATGCAGTCTGCATCTACACTCTTCCCAAACTCAACCAGTTCAGGAGTGTCCCTTTCAGTGATGTTCCTGATCGAGAGCTCAACATGGGAGTTATCTGCAGCCCTTTCAGCCCCCCCCCCCCCTCCCTGCCACCCCCACCACCACCACCACCACCACCTCCTCCTCCTCCTCTGCCCCCACCTCCTCCACCATGTCCTCCACCATGTCCTCTTCTGGTCCCACCACATTCTTCATGATATATCATCATGTTTCTTGTCCTTGGAGGCATCTTCAAGTAAAGCAATTGTTAGAGAAAAGCTAGAAATGTTTCAAAGTATACTCGAAGATGGTCAACAATACTCAAGTATTTATAGCCTCAAGGCATACACGAGTTATGGCCTTATGGCCTGATTTGCATCCATGTGTTATGTGTTGAGGGTTCACAAATGCAAATTTTGGCCTACACATTGCACATCTGACCCATCAGGGTCCTTCCCTCCTCTCTTCCTCCCACCACCTTGCAATGTGCATGGCCGGTCCATCACATTGCTGGATGGGAGGAGAGGTTGCTAACAAGTGCATGGTTTGTCTGTCACTTGAAAGCACCTCCAGGGAGCATTGGGGGCATGCATGGCTTGTTAGTCATGGCCCCAAGATGCATATGCATGCATGGTTTGTCCATTGTGCACATATGCATCTCTATGGAGATAGGCCTGTGCACAGGGCATGCATGGCCAGTCTGTCATGCTGCTGTGTACAAGGCCAACAGATGGTGTGTGCATGGCCAGTCCGTCATACACTATCTGTTGAAGGCCATGGATACCATGGCCTTCACCACAATTATGCATGGCCTGTCCATCATAATTGTGGCAATGAAAATTTTAAAAGGAGGCACAGGGCCTGTCCCTTGCACCTTCTTCCCTTCTCTCCTCCTCTCTCTTGTCCTCTGCCCTCCCTCCCTCCACCCTCCCTCCCTCACCCTCTTGCCTTCCCTCCTGCTCCCTTGCCCTCTCACCCTCCCTCCTGCTCCCTCACCCTCTTGCCCTCTCCATCCCTCTCCCTCCTCCTCTGCCCCTCCCTCTCCCTTGCCCTCTCCCCCTCTCCCTTGCTCACCCCCTCCCCTACCCTATTGCCCTGTCCCTCTCCCTCTGAAGATACATTTAGGTAGAAACTTCATGTACTAGTAAAATTAGATAGTTAATAAAATATTTATTACCTTTTGACATGTTTTAACATTGTGAGCTAATTTAATCTGTGCTGACCTAAGCATTGATGCAATAGACCCTGACCTGATCTGCTCTGATAGAGCAACAGCTACATCATAATCATGAGATTACTGGCACTCCTTGTGTTTTAGTGTGTTAGGGTCCCATGCTTCTCTTCCCCACCTAATTTTTTTTCTCCAAAAACATCACTGGGTCCATTGTTGTCTAAAATGGCAGGACATGGGCAGCACATGGATGTGGACTTTGTACTCCAGTTCTATCCAGAACAAAATCAACCCAGAATACAACCTGCTGAGTGCAATTTTTGCAAGCTATTGATACACCCACAAGTGTGCAAGAATGCCTCTGGTGAAAAGCCTGAAAACTATGGCCAGATCTTTGCTAAAGTAAGAGGAGAGTGTTCTGCATAATGCCCAAACAAGCTAACATATTCTCAATGCCCAAGCCATATGGGTATTGCTGATCCCATGTGTAGAGGTTTCAAGTGGTTGACACTCCCTCCTCTGCAAGCCATGCAAGAAGTGCTGCAAAGCACCTCCTATGTACACTGCACCAATCTTCCTGTTACTCCAACTGCCACCCCCCCTTTTCCAGCAAATGCTGGTGCTGGTGCATGCCCAGAAGCTGGGTGCAAGGGAAGGAGGAAGCAAGGGTGCTACTTTGGTCACTGCAGGGCACACTGCCAGAAGCAGCAGCACATTCATGGCATTGTATGTGAAGTGCAGAAACATCTGATCACCCAGAATCTCCCCCTCACCTTCTCTGACCCAGCAATCAGTCCTGCCTCATCTGGAATCATGCCTGTGAATTCAGGGATCCCCACTCTAACTTGACCTACACTGGCTTATCATGGCCTAACCACACTTGGCACTCATGTCAATAATCTGGGCTTTCTTGGGCATTCAGGAGCCACCAAGACACCCTTGCATGCCCAGCATCAGCAGGAAGATGAGGAGGCTCACAATAATGGTCAGATGTTAGCCTGTTGCTTCTCTGTGGTTGGAATCCAAGAGGTTAGCCAGTACCTAATACTTGTAAGGGATCTACTGACTTGACTCCAGGATGACACCACTTGATATGATGGACTGGTTGCTTCACTAAGTGCTTGGGGTCACACCACATGCGTCAACAAATGGCCCAGCAACCTCCAGAAAACTCTGCAAACTGAGTACCCTGATCAAGATTTTCTGGAAGTCTATCTCCCATCTACAGGGTGCTGGGCCATTTATCAGCATGATGCAACAATGGAGATCAAGAGGGAGGAAGTCATTTTTTTTCACCATGCTGGCCTCAGGAAGACTGCCCCAGCTATCAAGGCTGCCATTGAAGAGCATGCACCAACTCAGCTGCCACAGGACATATGCCATGGAACCTTGTCAGCCTTCTCAACCCCACAGAAATTGACTTGCCCAACAGCAAGCCCTGCCACTGAAGTTGAGGAGGTATCTCTGGTGAAGCTACCAGGAATGGCTGGGAAGAGGAAGAAGAGAAGCAGCCAAAGTGGCAGTGAGCCAGAAGTTTTAACAAAGCAGGGTTTGACCTCAATGTGTGTATCAAGCAGGATATCCTCACCAGAAGCACCTCAGCCACCTTGAAATCATCCCCAAAGAAGGCCCATGGATGCCCAGCCAAGTGGCCTGGTTTGCAGACATTCAGGGAGATTAAAAGACAGATTGAGGAGGTCAGGGAGAGGGTGAAAAACAGATAATTGCTCTCTGCAGCATGGGTTTCAGTTATAGGATATACCATGCCTTCAACTACCTGGTCAGACAATGCATGGTGGCTGGAGGTTGCTAATCCTACTACTCTTGCTTCATTCATGCAGAATGATTCACAAGACTGGATTGCCTTTTGTGCTGCTGCTAGGGAAGAAGCAAGCCTCAGGAACAATGCCAAGTAGAGCTGAGCAACTCAATAACCATATGTTTTTAACCTATGACCCTAATGCTATGATATGCTATGTCATGCTGTTTAGTCCATTCAACAACCAAGACCTATCCATAAGGTAGGGAAGTGCATTATTGTGTTGCAGCTCCTCAACACAAAAGCAGTTGTGGGCCTTGATAACCTCATCAAGGAAAAACTCATATCTCACTGGCAACATTTCTCACACTATTCCATCAAAATTCCTCAACCATGCATTGGTTTGCTCACATGCAGAGGAATTGAAAGTCCACTGGCCAGATTGTTGGTTGTAGAGCTGAGGGAAGGCCATTGGATTGCAATGGGTGGAGCAGTACTGGTCAGCAGTGGAGTGATGGTTCTTGAAATGGAAAACGTCTACCACCAGTGCAGTTTTGCTGAAATGTTCTTGAATGGGTCCTTGTCCTGAAAGATACTGGTGGAGGTGACAGTTGTTGTCATAGAACATGACATCTGGCATTGCCTGGGGTGTGGGAAAAACACCACGAATGAATTCCTGAAGAAGGGCTATAAAGGGATGTTTTAAGTAAAAAAAAATACTCACTGCTACAGAGGAAAGTGACTTGGCCCCATAGAAAGTGCCCCTGGCCACAATGACCCCACAAGGATGCACAATGAGTTGCTCATTGTGCATCCTTCTCCTGCCAAAGTGGGCCTTGAGCCCAGGTGCCTTCTTCCTCCCTCCACAGTGGCTGCTGGTATTGGGGACATCAGGAGTGTCCCCTTCTTGAGAATAAGACTTGGCACATTGGTGTCAATCTCACAGCTGAAGTGCAGACTGGCCAGCAGCATAGTAATTTTCTTCCAGCAAACAATGTTCAGGATTGGAGCAGGTCTTCCTACCAGGCTCTGCTTCATTATTACAGCCTTCCACTGCACGGCTTGCCTCCCTGGCTGTGTGAAGTGGGCAATACCATGCATGGTTGGAAGAGAGGGGGATGGTGCAGTTGTGGACTCCACAGCAAGGGCGCCCAATTGAAACTCCATCAGTGACAGCACAAGATAGCATGTCTGGATACTTCTGTAAGTGATGAGATCCCCTCATCAAAGAGTAAACTCACATTGCTCTCCATCATGGTCAAAGAACTTTCTGCAAAGGTTGCAAGAATGTGACCAGTGCTCTGGCCCATTTGCTGCCATGAAGATGTTTCTCTCTATCATGGCAGCAGTGAGTCAATCACTCTGGCTGCTGGCCATGTCAGGGAGAGTGAGCTGGGTGCCTTGCTCAGAATGGTGGAGGAGCAGTGAGTAGAGGTCAAAGAGATAAGAGAGGTATTCACTATGCAGGTGAGGAACTGCATAGCTCCCAGTGTTGTGAGTCTGGGTCCTTCCCAATGAATCATGAGATACTGTTGCTGTGGTTCCTGCTGAAGCACTGTGAAGGAATTAGTCTGAGAAAGCTTTTCTGGATATGTACTCACTGTGATAAAACAGTATATGAGTGGAAGAGGCCACAAAGTCCCTCCTCAAACTGGAGATGCTTCTCAGATTGGAGCACAGGTGGCATCCCTCCATAGTAAATTTGACACATTCCTTTACCAGGGGCTTCTTGGTGTGAGTAATTAAGGTGATATCTGGTGTTACAATGGCAACACCTGAGAGAGTTGACTGTAACAGGGAAAACACCATGGTTGAGGGTGTAGAGAGCAGCTATATATTGCTGTGGATCATACAGTGCTGCTGCCTCAGAGGTGTGAACAAAGTGGGGACAGTGGAGATTGAGGCAGGTGTGTGTTGGGGGATAGAATTCTTCAGTACCTTGTAATTGATGTCAGCCTATTCCTGTGGAGAGTGATTGGAAAAGTACTTACTGTTAGGGCAACACAGGCTGACTAAGTCTGCTCACCTAAGAGTGCCAAGAGTCT